AAAAAAAAAATTAAAAATATCATCATTCATAGAGAGAAGAAATTGAAAGAAATCCCCAATGTAATTAATCAGGGACTAAAAAAATAATAATAAAGTGTCACACTGATACATTCCTGTTAATTTTCTCATGATGATGCCATGTGATTATGTTGGCCTTTACATCTAAAAATTCAAATTGCAACAGGTTTCATTTTATATCAGCATTAAAAAAAAAAAAACAGCAACAAAATAACAGAAAATTGACTGAAATTTTTTGGTCACTTGTGCAGATATGGAGCAAAGGCAAGCTGCAGAATCATAAGCAGATATCTATCACTAATCTGATTTCCATCCAATCAGCTTGAGGGAGAGCAAAATCATGAGCTAAATGTTAGGATATTCACCATCTTCAATGGGTCAGTAATTGCAATTTCTTTTTTTTTTTTCAGGACATAGGAAATTTGCAAATATACAATATGCCTGCATTTTGATCCATATATATCCATATTAAAATCAATTCTTTTTTCTTTTCAAAATGATAATTCCCATGTATTTACATACCTAATATCTAAACTCCACCGTTTACATTAATACAACTAGGATATTTAGACCCTTCTCATCCATATGCAAGGTGACATCAATGTAGGAAAACTGAAGTTTAGGTGGTGATGGATATGTAAATATACATATGAATTAAGTGATATGTATGAAAATCAAGCAAAAATCTAAAAGACCATATGGAATTACAAACCTTCTCAAGTCTTGAACTCCAGAAAATGGCCATCTGATTTGGAGAAAACCTGAGTGGCTTCATAAAAGGAGGTCTCATATGGAGCTTTGCTGAGTTGCAGATCCTGAAGGTGAGTTCCATTGCCATGTAAGTTGAAAGGTAGTGTTTGCTCAGGCAGAGAATTATCATCCTGCCAACATTGAGGTGCCGAGTTCGCCAGCTGAGCTCGAAGATGAGATGTGACTATGGGATCGGCATTCGCTAACTGGTTCATATTGGTTTGCGCCGTGCTGGACGGGCACCAGGCATCGCTTGACAGAAGAGAGAGAGCACGCCGAAGTTCCGGTGCTCCATTCAAGTTAGAAGTATGCACATAAGCTTCCTGATCTGAAACAAAAACAAGATTTTGCAAACTTTTATCTTTATTACAATGTAATTTTTCCAGCTTTTTACTTTCTGTATTTGTTTTACTGGAGTGGTGGAGGTGATAGAAGTTCTATTTAACGAACTGTGTTTGTTGAATCCTCTTCATTGTTTTATAAAACTATGATGAAATACTGTTGAGTTTGACGTTGAACCAAAAATATTAAAGGGAAATTTACACAAGTAGAAGACAATTTCTATGTATTTATATATTTCAAACCTAAACTATCATATTTACATGCATAGCACTTTGATGCTTTAAACCTTTGCATGAAAAGGTGTATTTCACTTTTAAAAAGGGATGATAATGTTATTTTTTTATGTGATAGTAAAGATTTCAGTGCTATGTGTGTAAATATGAAAGTTTAGGTGTGAGATATGTAAATACATGAGAATTGTGTGCTACGTGTGTAAATGCCTGATTATTAAAATCTAACAGGTATACTGAAAATGGCACATAGTTTGACAGTGAAAACAATTGCTTAAAATGATTTTAGAATAATAAGAAAAAGTAATATCTGCAATAAAATACTTAATTAGAATAAATAAAAGATGAGGATTCATAATGCCAAACCCCAAAGAGTAGAGGCCAAGCTAATGATGATGATAATTTATTCACGTCATTCTTCAGTGAATAAAATCATTTGAAAACAGGAGTTTTAAACATCCGGATATATGATTACAAATCATAATCCAGATAATGCATCTAAAACACGATCATATCATCATCATTGTATGGCTTTCAGAGTTAAATTTTTGGGTGACATAAAATTAAGATAAGATTCTAAAGCATCTAGACAACGTAAATTTTTTTTCTTAAGATTATTTTGATTATCTAACCAATATTACATTGACGAGGACATTAACGATGAAATTTACGTAGGCATGCACTGAATGGAAACAAATTGATCGTGTTTTGCAAAATTACAAACAGCACCTTGCAAAAACCATTCAAAAGAATACCTTGATTAAGGACCTCACTCGCGGTACACTTGAATGGCATAAACCTGTTAAATTCATCACGAGAAGCCGTATTTGTATTAGAGAAATCCATCACAGGCAAATTTAACTGTCCCTCAACACCTGCTTTGGTTGTCTTAAGCCAAGATCCTTTTCTTATTGAAAGGCTGAAGCCATTTGACTGATCCAACAAAGTGCTTGTAGAAGGTTTTACATGACTAAATGGAGCTAAATTCAGAAAAAAGTTCATCTGCTGTCTTTCATCTGCATGACATCAAAGGTTCAATATTAAGCGAAAACAATTCGGTCAGCTGACTTTACATAAATGTTGGTATCTGAGCTTTTAATTCTTTCATAAGATAATTGCACTAAACAAATAGACTTATAAGATAACTGCACCAATAATTCTTTCTTTAGCATGCAGAAGACCAGTCATCAATGCATAAATTTCTAATTTAGTTGATGAACAATGCAAAGTCGGCAGTTCTGAAGTTAGTCTAGTAAGGAAGCCACCAAGATTAATCTTTTTTGACATCAAAAAGATTTATAGGGTGCTTGAATTTATGTAGGAAGGTAAAAGAGACGTGTTTGCAAAACAACCAATTTGCATTTATTCGCATATATTACTTTGACAAGGACTGATAATATCATCAAATCATGTGGATGACCAACATTTGTCAAATACCACTGCAAGGAAGTTGTATGGTTAATGTTGTTGAGTTTGATTTTGTGTTTTCTAATAAACATAAATGCTTTAAACTAAATTAATAGAATTTAAAAATTGACGCTTGGTACGCTTGTTGTTAAGCTTATGATATTTATCATAATGTTTATAGAAGTTATTAAGATGTTTGTCATAGTCACTAATTTTACATTTTAAATTTGATCCTTAGAAACACCATAATAAAGCGTACAACTTTTGTGGCATGTTGTTCACAATATCAGATTGCAATTTTTAATTCAAAACTTTTGCAAATAGCTGCAGGTAACATTTTAAACCTGTAGAATGAGTTTCGATCAGTGTTTGATTGCTTCTAAGTTCTCTTACTATGCTATTGTCTGAAGTAGTACAAACTTTGGCTTTATCATTTTTTCACAGTAAAACCGCCCCCAACGATTTTAACCCATCCATTTCCTTTAACCCCCCCCCCCCCCCCCCCCCCCCCCCAAACAAAAAAAACACTAATTTTAAAGGAGGTAATCTTACAATGTGCTGGGCTCTAGCAAAAACATCCACCCAAAACACTACTAATTTATGGGGCATTAACATACATAACATCCTATTTTTATGTATTTACATATCGAAAACCTAAACTTTATCTTTTACATTTACACCACCCAAATCTTTCGTATCACAAAAAAAATATCACTATTTTAACTTCTAAAACTTGAAAGGCACCTTTTCATACATAGGTAAGGTAGTATATATGTAAAAATTGAAGTATAGATGGTAGATAAACAAATACATAGGATTAAGAGGAATGTATATAAATCTTCCTAAAAAATAGAACAAACAACTTTTGTAACTCAAGCATATATAAACCGATAGCGATTTAAATAGTGTAATCAGTGATAAAATTCTTGACAACCAAAGGCTTGAATACAAAACTAAATACAGCAACATAGGCCACCGAAAAGAATGCATATCAAAATTTATTAGGGACACAACATGACTAGAAATAATATTTTTCTCCATATAGAAAAACATTGCATGTGCAGCGTGGTGGCAAGGCACAATCATGTATTTTTAGAAATTATTACAATAAATCATGAAAATGATAAAAAAAATTATTGATACCATAAAAGGATGGAGGAAGCCTTGATGGATTGAAGGAGATTGTTTCAGGTTGTGCTTTGCGCCGCCGCGCATTATGATCAGATAAGCGTCGACGACAACTCCGTTTCTTCTGATCAAACTCGGATAAATCATGAAACCTTAAAATATAAAAAAGTGATCAGTTTAAATTTTGCATTGAAAATTAAAAAAAAAAGGAACTAAACCATAACTTCACTGATACCCTAACAATTAAGCATATATTGCAGAGGAAACATCATGAGTCTACATTTATTTAACTAACTTTCAATAGTTACCGTAGAAGATTCTTCTACTTGTCAACAGACCATTATTAAATTGAGATACTGTAAAAAACATGCATAAGGACAATAAACCAAGGAAGTATTTACATATCTACCACCAAAACTTCAATTTTCACATACACGCCACCTTACTTATGTATAAAAAAGGTGTATTTCACATTTTAAATGTTAAAATGAAGGTATCTTTTATAGGGTATCAAGGATTTGGGTGGCATAAATGTCAATGGTAGAATTTAGGTTTTAGACAAGTAAATAAGTAGGAATTGGGTGGCAGGTATGCAAATGCCCCCACAACCACGAAACTCAACACAAAATTTACCGGCTACACTGCTGACAAAAACGACGTTCTTGACCAGCAACAATTACCCTCGGACTTTTAGAATGTTTTTCACAAACTCTGTGCTTGCGATGGTAATCTTTTGCAGAAGTTAGATCAGTACTGCAGCCCTCAACCTGGCAGTAAGTATGCTGAATAGCCTGATGTGATGCCCTAGATCTCTTCATAGAAGCAGCTGGTGGAGTCAAAGAAACTGAAGAGTTCTTAATGTTTGCAGAACCTAAATTTTCAAAATAAGTTCTTTTGCCAAGTTTCAGACCTATTGGTGGCTCCCCAGAACTAACACATCCAACAATCACAGGGGAAGTCCTTCGATCTTCTCCTTGAGCCATTTGATTACTCTTGATTTGGTTATTAAGAGTAACTTGGAGAGCTTCTAAGGTACCCTCTGATGTTTTATTTCCCGTCTTTGATAAGAAGCTGATGGAAGTTGGGACTGATTTCTTTGACGAACCATTGCCCAGTTCAGACCCAGAACAGGTGCCACTGCCGCATGAATACAGAGAGCCATTGCTGATTGATCCACCTTCAGCCTTCCACTCAGATTGTTCTGTAGATTTCGAAATTTCGCTTTCTTTTCCACTAAATAAACCAAAGTTCTCCCAATCCCACTGTAAGGAATTCTTAAAGTTCCACTCCATAGCACAACAGATGCCCAGCAAGGAAGAACTTGTGCACCACCGTCCTTGCCTGTCAGATGCTGAAGTATTAGAATTTACTCCACATAAAGTTTTGTGAAACCTAAGTTAAAAAAGAAGCAAACTTTACAAAATGAAAAAAAAAGATCTTCAAACCCAACAACACATCCGAACTGTCTGGCTGTCTTCAAACATCACAGCATGTATAAAATCATTTCCTTTAATAAAAAAAGTCACCATAGTTTAAAAAAAAATTACAAGAGCTTATTGAACTCATTTATTTATACAAGTAAAGATGCAATTTTTACTTGGAAAATCACAACACAGAGAGCCCCATCAAAGCTTCAACCATTGCTACCCGCAGAAAGAAAGGCATGTAAATCCCAGTTTCTCTGTTATCTATGCTAAAACCAGTTAGGGCTGAGTACCCAACACCAAAACAAAATGGTCGGAAGAAAGCACCTTCAACTCGTACACTCCATCCCTCAAAACTTCGAACCATCTAAGCACCTTTTACTTTTCCCCCTTTCCATTTAAGATGAGGCAACAAGGTTATCCCCACAACCCCATTATTGAATCATTCCAAATATGAATCTTGAAATACTTGAGGAACAAGTTACGAGTCAGTAACCTAATGCTCCAGCAACCGAACACTCTCAATAAAACGACTTCCCCTCTGTCCCTTAGTCTTCTCCCATGTATCTTTCCCATCAACCAGCTGCTTGACCTACCACCATCTAACAGCACGCCTGCAACTCCATAGTTCACACTAGGGCTTAACAACTACAATAGTTTTTCACTGTGTCACCGCATGCTTCGATAAAACCGGTGGGGCAAGAAAAAAGAAAATAAAAAAAAAAACTATCTTGAAACGGGAGACTTATTACCTTGGGTGAAGATCACGATGGAGCGGGGATGATGAAATCTATCACCATGGAGTCGTCATTCCAGATGAATCGATGTTTGTAGACAAGGATATGAGGATATGAGAAGATGAAAACCAAAAAATGGATTCACATCAAGCTGATGCGACGCTGGAGTGTGTCCCTTTCACCCATACTGCGGATTTATGTTTTAATCAATTGAAGGGGAATCGGCCCTACTCTCTACTGCTCCAGCAACCGAACACATGGACTTCTGACACAAAAACGTCCACAAAGACCGGCCATAAAAACCCCTCCAATTAATAAAAGAAAAAAAAACTACATCAAATCACTCAAAAACTAAAGCCACGCAGAATTCGTGCTTTGGATTGAAACAGATAAAGACGACAAAAGAGAAAAAAATGGTAACAGCCGAAAAGAGCGGAGAATTTGACCTAAAGAACCTACCTTTTGGGCGCCTTTTTGTAGCTGGACTCTCTGTCTCCAACCAAATCGGGGCAAAGTAAGTAAAACTCTCCTTCACTTTACCTAATTCCGCGGAAAGGAAGCACATTTACGCTACCTGTCTCATCCTAGCGAATAGTAATAATAAACAAAGAAATCTTGAGTCCAGCATAAAGTTAATCAAATCATGAGAAAGATACTGATGTAGTTATTAATGATTACTTTTAACTCATTATTTATTTACGTTGATTTAAACCGAAAATAAAGGCCGAAAACATCAAGCGCTTTATATCAGCTCCAATTATTGGGCGTTCCAATCATTTCTTTTTCTAGGGTTTTAGATTTTGAAAGTGGCAGCAAAATCCGAAACTTACAAGTGGGAGCAATCATGTGCGGAGATTGCCGACCAAATACGTGCGCCCCCTCACTCTACAGTTCTTCCGACGCCCCCTCACTCTACAGTTCTTCCGATCATGAGGAGCACATGCATGGCTCCGCTCGAAGCCATTTGGCGCTTTGCTGACCACAGAATCGATCGCCCACGAGACGGATGCGCAGAGGGACGGAATTGGGCCGCTAGGGCAGGCAAATTGAGGAGCACGCTCACTTTTAAGTTCAAGCGGAAATTCCCGATAGTTTAAATGAGCGCTGGGGGCAAAGTGGGAATATATTTTTTCTTTTGTTTTACATTTTAAAATAGCTGCAGAAGTGCAGGTGAATTATTGTGGGGAAAATAACTTTTTATAAAAGCGATTTTAGTTTTTATTTAATTATGATAACATATTGTCTTAAATTTTATGAAAAAAAAATTGAAAATTATATAATTTATTTAATCATATTATTTATAAACACTTTAAGTATATTATAATCTCAAAATTAATTTAATAGTTTTGAAATTCATATTTGTACACATAAAAATGTGTGCACAAATCTCAAAGTAAATGGGCTGCTCAAAAAGAAAATGCGGATGATCGTGCGTAGATGCAGAAGACAATTGTTTCCAGGAGAGTATTGGCGAAGGAAGCTCTTTATTCGAACGATCGGCAGAAAACGCTAACAAAAAATCTCGTAGGGCGGTAATTATTCTTCAGGACTATCGACGGGGAGTACTCTTTCGGATTATATGTAGACCAAACCAATGTTTTTTAGGTGATCAGCAACCCACATTGATCGAATCGATCAATGATTTTATTATATGCAAATAACTTTGTAATTACCCCCTTCTGAAAAGTTCATAATGAGAAAACTAATATGTATTTTTATAATATTATGACCTAGGTCTATAGATAAATGTTATGGCATGGCTCATATACCATATAAGGGACGGATGTTTGAATGAAGCAAAGCGGAGTAGAAGAATCTGTCTAATCGGGGGAATTTCGTTATGTGGGTTGGGGATGCAGGGGCAACGACCCGCGGTACGGTACAAGGGTAATTTTGTAATTACATATTACACTTCAGGGTTTACTCCAGGGCTATATATATGTTTGTTTGTAACCCTAGAGAATATCTCATATTCTATTATATACTCTTTTTTGAAATTAAAAGAAAGTTGTCGCTCTGCTCCCGAGGACATAGACATCTTTACCGAACCTCATTAAATATCTGTGTGTTCTTCTAGACTTTTGTCGATTCATGTTTTTCTTCGTCCTAATTTCTCAACAATAAAAATACAAATCATGAATAAATGACATTTTTTTATTTGTCCACTACTGCTCTCTCTCTATCTGAATCATTTCATAATAACATATTTCATTCCTTAGGTGTATTTCTTAGACATGTTTCTATTCAACATTTTTTAAGGTGTGGTGAGCATGGAAACATATTGTCAACGAGAAGAGAAGTCCAGCAATAACAAAAGGGAGAATTCAATTAGAAGAACGAACGAGAAGCAGCATGCGCCCGAGAGTTCAATGAAGAATTTGTTCAACAATATCTGCAAGATTTAAAAACTTGATCACCAACCAAATGTCAGGACAGTTCGCAGAAGCCCTTAGGGCAGTTGCCGCAATAGCAGCAGCCCCAGTTCCTAAAGAGGAGCTAGCACGACAAGGAAAACTAAACCCCCTCAAGGGGAATTGTTAGCCAACAATGGAAGGAGGAGGGTCCATCTGCAGGAAAAGTCTGATGTCAATCAATACCATGACAACATCAGATTAGCCGCTATGAAGGAGAGGAGCCGATCGGTGCGGACCGAGTTATAGAGGCATCAGAAGAACACTTTCTCCCTGCATGTCTCCAGAGTTGAAATTCAAAATGCCGGTCTTAAAGACATATAAAAGATGGTCGGATCCCAACAACCACCTCGCATCGTTCAAATCGTGCATATGTATGTTAAAAATTTTTTACGCCCTCAAGTGTAAGCTCTTCTTCACGATGCTGAGAACAATTGCATTAAGGTGGTTTGACAAGTTGCTTGTAGGGTTAATCACCTATTTTGCGGAAATTTGAAGATTTTTCTATTACAGTTCGCCAATGCCCTGAAGCCCAAGAAAAGTGCATGATACCTGTGACAGCTAAAGCAGGGGAGCCAAAGAGAGAATCAATAAACTAATTATGTACACATAAAAAAGTGTTGGCACAAATCCCAATGCAGATAGGTGGCTCAGGAAAAAGATGCTAACGATCAAGCGTAGACACGAAAGATGGTCTTTAACTCGTGAGTATTAGCAAATGAAGCTCCTTATCCGAGTGATCGAAATTTTGTAGAATAGTAATCAGCCTTCAGGACGATCGAAAAGGAGTACCCTTTTAGACTATATGTAGACCAAACCAAGGCTTGTTAGGCGATCTGCAACCCTCATTGATCGGATCACACACACACACACACACACACACATATATATATATA